TGCTGCGTGTCATCCCTTCTCTCTATGAATTTTAAGTAGATTATTTTCTGTTTAGGGAATCATTTTTAACAATCATACATACTTCATAGGCTTCTTTTTTTTTGACAAATTCAGTGTTTTCTTGTTGTTGTCTCTTGTTGTTTTATGCAATTGTTAACTGAAATAATCTGAATCTAATCATAAGATAACAGCTGATCAAACTGCAGTTGCCTCTCTGCCAATAAGAATGATGAAGATCCTCGATGAAGCACAAGCCATTGTTTTTAGTGCAACTTAAGAAAAAGATGGAGTTAAATGCAACTGCATGCTTATTGTTACTGCATCATCATGACAAAAAATTGGTTTGCCATAAATTTTGTGAAATGAAGCATTTTATTTATAAATGAATATATAAATAAATTATAAATAATACATTTTTTATAAAAATATTCCAAAAGGGGGTACATTATTGAAAAAACTTTGAGAAGCACTGCTCTATAGCGCTACCAGTGGTCAAAAACTCCACTGGGTACCTTAAAGGTTTCAAACATATCACAGGTTCTGATGATGTCTGGCACCATTAGAGCTCCAGCCCACAATTGACGAGGCCAACACATAATTTACAACAAGACAATTTCAACGCATATTAATTTGCAGTTCTGCAAATGCCAGAATTATCCAGCAGGCAAATTTTCAACTGCAACCATTTGGCAAGATGTTCTAAAACTAATGCTGAGACGGGGATGGTGATGAAGCCAAAAAGCCTCTGTTAATCTGACTGATGTCATCGTGTTCTCAAACTGACTTTGGGAGGTGTACATCCGTTGTGGTGCACATGACCTGGAGGAAAATGGCAAGCAGAATGTAAAGTAAATGAGTCTTATTCACATGGACATAACAGACTAGCAATCATTTTTTAATGCTAGTAAGGCTACCTAGATTAATGTTATCATTCTTACGTGTCATTTTGCTTACTACAACACTTCCATATGAAGCGATGCCCATCACACTTTGGTCAAAACATCAAAAAAGTTAAGTCTGTGGATCTTTTTCTCTGGTCACTGACAAGTAAGCGGGAGAGAAGTAATTTTTCCTTGATTTTATTATTTAGTAGATCGTGCAAAAAAAGTGCAAGGAATCATGCTTTTGAGCCTCAGTATGCTTCAAATCAACTAGTTTGTACAACATGCCATCCGACTATGTCCAAGGGCGTCTCCAGCTGTTCAGCCTGACGCCCCCTGCTGACTACATCCCACTGCCTCTCCAATCTGTCTCCAAGAACTCTGTGTCTCTGTAGTCTCTACGCTAGAAATTCTTCAAATGGGGATTATACACTTTGATCAGTCTGTCCTCAAAGGCATTCATGGTGTTGCACTTTGTTATAAGGAAGAAAATTGATGGCAGAAGTTCAAACTCTGCCCTACCCTTACACCTCCACCCACCTGGCCATAGTATGTCAGGAAAGATGCAAAAATTGTCAGACACAGACCCCCTCATAGTCTGTTGTTGGGAGGGAAGTTTCTGTCAGAGGACCTGAAAAACACTCCATCTGCAGCACACCAGCACATAGAGGTGATTATATCTTGTGAAACCGCTATAAGACCATACAGTCCACTGCAACGATTTGATTGTTCTCAGTTCACCCTCACAAACCTTTTGCTCCTTCACTTTATGGTGCAATTTAAGGTCCCTGGTTTCAATGTCAACACGTCTGAGCGCCTCGGCTTGACTCGCAAGACCCGCAGGCCTCTGGAGAAATCTGTTTCCAATTACGCTGTGTATGAAACATCTATTGTTGTCCTGAGCACCCGGGGAGCGGCTGGGGGATTCGGGAGCTGGCTCTGTGCTACTGCCAGACCTCTCAGAAACCCCCCCTCCGTCTGTCTGGAGGCTCCCTATTAACATACTGCTAATAGCCCCAAGGGTGGCTGGATGAGTGACGGACGGGGGGGTTAGGTTTCACGGGCCCTCTGGTCCTGTCTGGGTCACCACTGCTGACCGAGGAGAGCGTCTGTAGCCCCAAAACTTCCGAGCTCGATTAATCAAGCTAGCGCTGCGTCCTATCGACCTTGTTAAACACGAACCGTCTGGACTCTAACAGAGGCGCGTTGTTAAACACAACACGTGCTCGCACAGCAACTGAAATGTATTAATCATAGCTTCCCCCGTTAGTAATAAAACAGTACAGTCTGAGAGCCTGGCATGTGTTCAATGATCTGATAATAAGGTATTTTTAGATGTCCTGCTGTTGTTGTTCCATACAAACCTCCTCAGCAATAAAAAGCCCTTCATCTGAATTCTCTCAGCCAGTAAGACAATCCATACACATGAATAATCCACAGTGTATCTACTGCCTTTGGCTTTGATCACGAGAGGTGAGAAAATCCAATTGACGATGTTGAAAAGTTGTGTAGAGCGTTGGAATGTTTCTCACCACGTTGAAAATCCATTGGCTACACAAGCCAGGACTTTGAATTTAGACCACGAACAAGATCTGTAAGTACCACCTTTTCTTTTGATCCTTCAACTGCCTCTTCCTCTTTCCAAGGAAGACACACCTAGTGACACACAACTTTGAAGTTTCCATGCTGGCGCGTTAGCTTGGCTGTTTTCACGAGAAGCTACACCAATGCAGAGACGCGTCTGTGCTCTTATCAGCTGCTGTACTGCTACACACAATCGATTCTGAGGCTACTTCTGAGGAGACTTTGATGTTTGGTGGTTAGAGCCACAGAGAGACACTGCCAAATTAACCAACCGATCAGTCCTCATCTGAAATGGCAGCTGTCGTGCTAATAATCCATCAAGAAGGAAGAACTGGAATAGAGGTCTGCAGATGGGATTTCAGGAATACTCATGAGGCCATGATTCCACTTCAGTGCACGCCCCACATCCTTTTTTTCTTCAAATTTTCATATTTTACTTCTTAACAGTTGTTAACAGTTCAGTTCTATTTTCTGTCAATATTCTCTATCCTACCATTAAAAAGTCTGCTTCTAAGCCGTGTCCACACTCTGGTGAAGAAATACTGACTCCTTTACAGTGCTGAGTATCAAATCTGATGGAGCCACTGAAGTCTTGACGAGTTACGAGGACCTCAAAGTATCAAGTATCAGCTCAGAGGGTGATAACAGGTCTCATCATCGTTCATCTCATCGCAGAAAATTGATGGCAGATAGGTGAAAATCCCAATGACAAAACTACAGAAGCATATAGCATTCACTTGTTTTACTTAATTAACTTTTTTATGTCAGAATTCTGAGATATGCTTTCAATTTAAAAAAATCTGCTCTTGTTTTTCTGATTTAATGAGAAACCTCCAGCAGGCTCCTCATGCAGGCAATCCAGGTGATAGACGGCCCAATAAATGAGCTTTCTGTGCTAAATGAGCCAGCCTGTGAACTCATTCCCTTCTACGCAGACAGTGATTGATAAGGCAAGACATTTGTCTCTATATTTTGCAAAGCCCTTATCAATAAGCTACTGTACTGTACATGAGTTTGTTCTGGTGTTTCTTTTTATAGAGAACTTTGTTTAGAACCAACATTGCCTACTGCAACCTTTTTCCTGAAGGGACCCCTTTTCTGTCATTAAGTAAACTGACAACCCCTGACTAAGTGACATATTTTTTTTCATATTTTGTTCAACACATACAGATGAGTTTTTGTGCCATTTTTAGGATTTCTTTATACATTCCTCTATCTGTATTATGTTTTCATATTTTTAACAATCTTACATAATTAATAGGCTTCTTTTCTTCTCCATGATACTTGGCCATCGTTAGTTAGTTAGTTAGTTAGTTAGTTAGATTACTTTATTAATTCCACAACGGGGAAATTCAGTTGTCACAGCAACATAAATACAGATATGAAAGCTATGGTGAGTGGTAAAAGCTATGGTATGGTGGTAATTTGGAAACAGAAACTAAAACATGATCAGGTGTTGTAGAGTCTGACAGCGGCAGGGATGAAAGACCTGCAGAACCTCTCCTTACACCGTGGGTGTAACAGTCTGCTGCTGAAGGAGCTACTCAGGGACCCCACAGGGGCATGTAGGGGGTGAGAGGTGTTGTCCATGATGGATGTCAGCTTCACTAACATCCTCTTCTCCTTCCTCTATGGAGTCCAGAGGACAGTCCAGGACAGAGCTCGCTCTCCTGATCGGTTTATTGTCTATACAGTCTTGCAGTTAATTAAATTCCATTAAATTAAATTACATTTATTTGTATAGCGCCAATTCATAACAGAAGTTATCTCAGGACACTTTTCAAATGGAGCAGGTCTAGACCGAACTCCTTATAACTAATTTTATATTATAATTATAATTAATGAGTCCTTTATTTGGGTTCATTGTACAGTTTTGAATATATTATGAAATATACATAAAATATGTCTATATATGAGTCGGGGGTTGTCAATTAACTAAATGATAGAAAAGGTTGGGAACCACTGCCATAGCAGGTCAGGTGACGTAAAAAGGAAAAAAAATGTCTTCATTGTCAGGAAGACGTGGATGGGCGGGTTAAACACACGACCTGCATGAAAAAGAGCAGCTCATTGGATCGGGATCAGCTGTTTCAATGGGTGCCAATGCAAATGGCTCCGGCAACAAAATAAAGTTGAACAGCAGCTTTCATAGGAGCTACTGTATGTGCTGGAGGTGGGCGTATGTGTGACATCTGTGCAAAAATTGTATCTTTTCCCAAACAGAGGTCAAGAGAAGAGGATGGAGCATTGCCTGGTTGTGTTGTCATGGAGACCATCAGAGAACGGAGATAATATCAAGGGCTCACTTCCGGCAAAGAGAAGGGAATAAAGATTTTTACTGTTCATTTCAATCATAACTTCTGCCTTTCCTCCCTGACTCAATCTCTGAAGCTTTCATCTGCTGCATTCAGAGCTCATGTGACGGCTGTCTCTCCCTTTCAGTGCGGTAATGAGTGCTGCTGCAAGCCCATGTGGAGAGGAGGACGGCTACTTGTCAGCTAAACCCTTCAACAAAAATAACCAGAAATGAGACGCTTTTCAACTGAAAGACATTTATTTAGACATTTTTTGGCCCGCGTGAGCCACGAAAGCAAAAACAGGGTTTCATCCCAAAAGGAAATATTTCCAAAATGTATGTCACCCACTAGACTCTGACAGCTTTGATATCTGTATGTGGTTTCATGCCAGTGATTAAAATGGCAGATATCTCAGTTTGGAAAAAAACACTTCAAAAAATACAATAGTCCTTGTCCTAGAACTGGAAATGAGTACAAAAGGAAATCATTGCACAGTATTAAATGCTATAGAAAGAAAACTGCATTCATGTCATGAGAGAGAAAAATACCTTGTTAACCAGTGAATCTCGAGAGGCACATGTTGGGAGTTGAAGAGATCCACTGGCCACGTTCACATGCACACAATGTGCTTCTGAATGATCAGATTTAAGAGGTGGTTTGGTTTGGGAGTTTATTTTTAAGTAAGATCATTTTCTCCCGGAGCCAGAGGGATTCTTTTAATTAATAATCGGGTTGCTTCATCTGGATCAATGTCCTCCAACCTTTTGAACACACGGCATACTCTGAAAAAGTGAATGAAAAACAGCAAAAATCTGGCATTTAATCAGGTTATGTTTACACTGATTATGAAATTAGCCTGACATGAGTAGAAAATCAGTTAATGCTGAAATGAAAACTGCTGATTATTTGCGTGCATGCGTGTTGATACTATGCACACATGCACTGTAGACAGCATGTGATTAGCATGCACACATCCGACCGCAGAATCCCCCACAGCCGGACCCCCAGCGAGGAGAACAGACGGGACAAACAAACAGAGGAAATGGGGGAACGCAGGCTTCCATGGTTTGTTTCACATGAGTGTTAGAGGAGAGCGGTTCCACTTTATAGAATGTAACAGGAGGCTAAGGCTGAAAGGTCAATGGCTGCAAGAAAAGTAAAAGTCATGGGCGACTGGCCAATCATAGCGCTGGATAGCTACATGTGTCTTGCCAAGAAAAGTATTGGAATTCATAATAATGCATCTTTGAACTGTGGCTAGCTAGCTAATTAAGCTAACGTTATATTCATGGGACGATTGAAAGAGCCGGGTGCCAGGTCTTGGTTTGTCCATTCTGGGCTACTGTAGAAACATGGTGGCCTCCGTAGAAGAGGACTCTGTAAATATAAACAGCTCATTCTAAAGGTAACAAAAATACAACGATTCCTATTTTCAGGTGATTATACACTAATGAAAACATACCTATCAATACGTATGAATTCTTAAATACGCAACTGATAGTAAAGAAAAAAGATACATCATTCCAACATAAGCCTGTTTGGCTGCTTAGCTAACAATAGCAGCTTACATTAGAGCAGATAAACACACGTCTGTGGTTTTGGAAGAAGACACCCTCATACAAACTTATTAGATGCCAAATATGGCTCCAAGCTACAGCCCGATGCACACTGCTTCAACATGTGTAGGAATCCAAAGCCTGCTGTACCTATCGTGCCTAGTTATGGTTGCTAAGCTATGATTGGACAGTTGCTCTTCGGGGAAGGGGGTTCTAGTAAAAGGCTCAGTACTCAACAACTGGGCCACAATGTGGTACCATGGTACTTGGCTGTCGGGCTGTTCATTATTTTGACACTTTTCAAATTTTGTCATTCAGTAAACTGTTGGCATGAAATCATTTGACTCGTCTCAATTCACACAGAGACTGGACTTGATTTACTTGTTGGTCTCCAGAGCCAAAAAGGTTGGGGAACGCCTGATCGAACATCCTGACTGACAGGAGGCAGGTTAGAAAGCGGAAACGGAAGAAAAAAAAAAAAAAGTCAAAATGTGTGCATGTTCGCTTAGCCAGGAAGGATGTTCCAGCAACATTGTGGGGTAACTCAAAACACTGAAAGAGGAAAAGTATAACTGTAGCGTACAGATAAAGCACATACCAACTGTGCACACTGGGGAAACACCAAAAAACAAAACCAACAACAGGTAGACACAGAAATTCATGTTACTCCCTTTAAGTAGTGGTCTGGTGCTGGTAGACCTGCTAACATGGCAGTTCAAAGTGTTCCTCCACACTCCCAGCCGTCTCTGTATCCCTCCACTGACTCAACGATGCAAAGTGTTAACAAAAAAGGCAGGTAACAAGTTTTGTGACACGGTGGGTGGTAAATCCCCAAAATATCTACGTGCCAAAGAGACTGTTGTTCTGTGAAGAGAAGTCCTCCGACTGAGAGTAGACCACCTTGCTAACAGCAGCGAGGTTTCCTCAGCGTTGTGGGTGGTTTTCCTGCTCCTCCTTAACAAGACCAGCAATATGATATGCAAGTGCTTTGGTGCTGTACTGTACTGAGAACAGTCTAGATTTATGGAATATAATGGCTTTTGTGTGTGGACCAAAAAAAAAAAAAAAAACCAGGAGCAGAAAATAGTTTTCTAACCATCATGTGGTTTAAATGAAGTGAAGCAGAGGAATGTGCTGGCTGGCGGCAGAGAGCACCCACATTCCCACAAGGCTTAAAGGGCGCGAGAAGTCGGACGGCAGACGGCAGGATTCCCGTTGCCGACCGTCGCCTTATTGGCAAAGGCCGCCTCAGTCGCCCACGTCGCTGTCCTGGTCTCCTATGACCCACAGGAAGTGGAAGCTGAGCGCCAGCAGGGCGGTGCCCAACAGGTCACCGAGAGCTGTCAGGTAAGGGATGGAAAAACTGTCGGGATCTTTGCCGCTCCGCCACATGGAGTGCACCATCCAGTCCGATATACACAACAATAGCAGCACCTGGGAGAGAAGGAAAGAAGGATTAGACTGCAGGAAGCCTACATGGTTACCCAGGGTTCCCTCAGAAAGACTGCTCACACAACCTCATCATAGAGCAGGAATTGAGTTATTCATTTAAAATGACTGATTACCAAAGTCAGAATTCATCAACTAAAAACATAGTTCCACATTTTAGGGCCAAATAGTTACGGCCGGGAAATAGTCTGGCACATAAGCGCTCATATGGAAAGCTATCGTTTTTCCACTTCAGTTTTGTATGGGGGGTCAGACTCGACCCCTTGGCCACTGCAGCCAGCACTGAGCCTTGGTACATGTACCCACCAGGTGAGCTACCAGGGCGCCACACTGTTTTGTGTTTATTATCGAATGTTAGCATGCTAACATATATGCCACATCATATCTGCTAAACATCAGCAAGCTAACACTAATTGTGATGGTAGCGTGATGACGTTTAGCATTAGATCAAAGCACCACTGTACTCAGGTACAGCCTCACAGAGCTGTCAGCACTGCTGTCCACTTACAAAACTGTTCCAAATTGTCAGATGCTTTGGAATAGTATGTGTCCGAGTTGATCAATTCCTTTTATCAATGCAGGTCTATTCTTCTGACAGTAGCGCACTGCAAAACAAACTACAACTTGTAACAAGAAGGAGTCATGGCGGAGAGGAAGGAATGCTCCAAAACATGGTTTCATTTCACAAACACTGTGTTCAGACAGAGATAATAAAACAGTTGCGCTGATGCTAAATAAGTCTTGGCCAACTTTTTTTCTATGCAGAAAAAAGATAAAAGATAAAGATAAAGAATTAGGCTGATAAGCAGAATTGATAATTGTCCCATAAAAGTACTGGTGAGAGTGCCTTTTGTTTTTATTCCTCTAAACTGTGAAACTCACTGCCTCTAGATATTAGAGGCATATTAGTTCTCTCAGTATTTTTAAAAGGAAATTAATCTTTTTAATCAGGCTTTTACTTTCGAGTAATGTTAGGTTATGTTTGGTTGCTCATTTTACTAATATTTTGTAGAGATGGGCTTGAATCTGGCAACTTAATTATTTATTTTCTATTTCATTATTTCTTTTGACTAAATTAAAAACAGTTTAAAATAGTTTCACTAGTTTTTTTATGGCACTAATACAGAACAGCATTGAAAGATAAAAAAAGAAAAGGAGGTAAGAAGAGGCAGTTTAAGTGTAATATTTAACCAAAGGGAGAAAGAAACACTGGATGGAAACAAGAAAAGGCCTGTGTTATCATGTCTGGGAGGATATTAGTGCTTCAGAAACCTGTGCAGAATGCCATAAACACTTAAACTGTAGTGGGAACACAGAGGAGCAGGAGTAATGGACAGAGCAGCAGACCGAGAGATGAGTTAAGAGAGTATTATTCATAATTCAAGTTTCCATGCATGGAGGGAACGGTGCCGAGAGAAAAAGAGAAGTCTATTAAAAGATAAGGACGAGTCTATAATTTAAGGGGAAATGAGCTGTCCAGAGTTGGCAGTGCAAACATTATAAAAACAAAAAAAGTATTGCAGTCATTGACAAATATTGACATGCTAAGAATCCAAGAAGTGATGGTGGTATCAATAGGAAGCAGGGAGAATTGATTATGATAGTGTATCATTTTCTGTGTAAAAAACACACTAATGTACAAGTCCTGATAACCTACTGACAATAAATACTCAAAGACACAAAAGCAGCAAAACAACATCAATAATAAAACACTAAAAACACATCGGACTAAGCTAAACATTAAAAGCAATTTTAAAAAGGTGTGTTTTTGTCAGAGATTTGAATGTTGGAAGGTCGGTACAGTCACGGATGTTTTTGGGGAGAGAGTTCCAGAGGGAGGGGGCAGCTACAGAGAAGGCTCTGTCGCCCCAGGTACGGTGCTTGGTCCTGGGTGATGGAGTCAGGAGGTTTGCATCAGAAGAGCGGAGGCTACGGGATGGATTGTGGCGATGGAGCAGGTCAGTGAGGTAGGAAGGGGCCTGGTTATGGAGTGCTTTGTGTGTGAGGAGGATTGGAGGTTCTGGAGGACAGGGGTGATGTGGACACGGGTGTGGGTGTGGGTGAGCAGACGAGCGGCAGAGTTCTGGATGTACGCAGTCCTCTACTGTGTATGGAGGATAAGTAGAACACACTCAAATTATCTTTAGCCTCTTGGCATATTTATTTAACAGTTAACAATAAAGCTCGGACCGATGTGTTGTCTCATCAGCATGGCTCACACACAACAACAACTAGCGCTCACTGGGAGCGTGGTGACGTCACGTCTTGTACGTACCATAACCCTTTCACAATACAGCAGTACAGTATCAGTCTACCGTAATACAGGGACTCCACCACCTGTGGCCTGAAGGCTCTGGCGATGGGACAGATATGTCTTCATATCTGACCACTTCTTTTTCAACTCTGCTGCGGTGCGGTTCTCCGACCCTACCGAGTTTACTGCCTGTGCCTTGCAAAATACTTTTTTTGGCCTCTACCTCCGTCAGCAGCACCTCCAATTCACACTGGTGTTTTGGTTTATGTGGTGTTCAAAGGAGAGGTTATTGTCAAAGATGACTCTGAGGTTGCGACTGTGAGGGGATGGAGAACGGTGAGGCAGAAACTGTGAATGGTTTTAGTGATGGATTTGGGGCCAATCCTGTTAAACAACATGGTGTCCTGCTTTCCTATCCAATAATGTTTGGCTATGACACGATGAAAGCGTCTCGCAGCGAACAACAAGCTATCAAACCCGGGTATCCACGAGCGAGGGTTTCACAGCTTTATCTTTTATTCGTGATGACAGGGTGGCACAGTTGGACATCCTCTCAGTTGTTGCAATTGTTGCTTTCGTACCATCACCTGCCTCAAAACTGTCAACTACAATCCATCATTTACAAGTGCACGGCTTCCCATGGAGGATATTAGTTTTTTCCCCTCAGACAAACAAAGAAAGAAAGGGAGGGAGAGGCATGCATAGAGAGAGAGAGAGAGAGAGAGAGAGAGAGAGAGAGAGAGAGACGGAAACGTGTGCATAGTTCCAGGCTGTCAGTTTTTCAAGGATTAAGATGTGTCCAATTTCCACATTTTGGCAAAACAAATGAAAAATAAAAGAGGCAAAAATAACCGCGAGTGCCAATCCATCTCGCAGCTTCTTTCTCCATCTCTGTATTTGTTTCTTTAATCATGTCTGAGTGGTGAGAGAGAGGCAGTGTCTGCAAGATAAAGCTGTTTGATCTCCTGAGATGGCCGCGTTCGCCTGCATCCGCCTTTGGGTCAATTTCACCAATTACAAAACACTTACACAGGTAGGGGACACAAATATACAGCTGAAAATGAGAGTGTGAATGTTGTTCAGTTTGTTGTGGATGATGGTAGAAGAGGAGGTTGATTGCAATTGCTCTGGCTCTCTAGCAAACAGAGTTGGCCCGAGCCAAATCAGTACAAACGTATGCATGCAATCATGTAATGTGCTTCATGTAGCAACTTGGGCAAAAGGCCTTTTTCACAGCAGCCATTTTGACATTATAGTAGGGTAAACACGGGTGATATTAGTGATGCTAATTAAAGTTCTGTTCCATTCAGGTCAAACGCAGTCAGGGTGCTGTTGTTTTTGTGCACTGGCTCAGTGGAAAGGCTCTGCTACACTAAATGGTATAATTGTAAACCCTTTAAACTAATTTAATTATTTGTTAAGATAAGATAATCCTTTATTATCCAACAATGGGGAGATAAGGTTTGTTACAGCAGCAAGGGATAGTGCAAAGAATCAGGAGTTCAGACCAAAAAAACAAAACAAAAAATTCAAATAACTGTTTTACAAGGACCAGTGTGTAGGATTCATCTAGTGGTGACGTTGCAGATTGCAACTAACTGAACATAGCTCGCACCTGTATCTGACAGGAAATGAGAATGGGCAGTGAAGTGTGTAGGAGACACTACAGTGGCTGCAAAATTGGCCAAAAACTCGAACAAAAATGCCCAATCTACAACTGGTTTGTCCATTCTGGGCTACTGTAGAAACAGAGTGGTTCAACATAGCGGACTCAATGGAAGGCGACCTGCAGCGTCTATAGATAAAAATGTCTCATTCATTCTAAGGTAACGAAAACACAACTCCTCCTATATTCAGGTGAATTTCCTTACAGGAATACTGATTCAGGCCCATGGATCAGTATCAGTGCCGGGGGCGATCTCAGCATATTTTAATGGATCGGTATTGGCTAAAATAAACCTGATCAGTGTTGCCAGCAGCTAGGCTCTACACTGTGGGCATTTTTACTGTATTTACTTGTAAAATTTAGAGGTCGTTAATGTGAAAAGCCTGTTTACACCTGGTATTAACCTGCATCTTGGGTGATCCGATCACAAGTGGACAGTGTTCTTTGTGTAAAAAACAACCTTCTCTACTGCTGTCCGCTGTGAGTGACTCTTTGAGTGACAGCCTGTCAGCAACCCACCAGGAGAGACGCTCTGTGATGAGAGCTTTGTCTTTGCCATCTGTGAAGTGAAAACATCAGATTTCCACACAGCTGAAAAGGTAAAAGTGTGTCCTGCTCATAAAGTTCAGTTACAAAATCCCCCAGCCACCATGGAGCGTCTCTGCTGCAGGGCTGCGGACAGCAAGGTAAAAGCGATGGGCTGTAGGGGTTTAGTGTGTAACAGAACTGGGGGAAAAAAACAGGAACAAGTAATCAAATCTTCGTATTGAGCAGCCAGCTGGACAATAATAATGAAGACTGACAACATTCTGTGTAGGGTTCAGCCATAAAAGTGTATATTTGCATATAGAACAGGGAAGTGAGATCTGATCACTACACCAGGATCGGCAAAATAGACAAGTTTGCTAAACCCAGATGCTAACATTCAGGTAGCAGCTTCTCATTTTCAGCCAGTGCAGAGCCTCACTTTCACTGGTTGAAATGACAAACATCAACCAAAGATTGTATGAGGGAAGAAGCTCCACTCTGTACAATCACAAGTGTTTTTGTAGTTCCAGCAACTCC